GAGTCTGCTTCTCCCTCTGACCCTCCTCCCTCTCATGCTCTCTGTCTCTCATTCTCTCTCAAATAAATAAATAAAATCTTTAAAAAAAAAAAAATAGCCTCACGACGAGAAGAACGTGCAAACGTACGTTTACAAAGATAAAATCTAACCGGTGACAAATGTGTTTCGATTGATCTCCACTCCCACTTACAAGCCATTATCGGCAGCTAAAGATACCTACAGAAAGCAGATTTCTTAGGACATAAGTGGAAATAGTGGAAATACCATGGAGAAATCCACCCCAACTCAAGAGGACAGGGGTTACCAACTCTGAGGTGAGCCCAGACGCTGTCCTTCACGTCAACCCCACTCATCACTGGTGACCCCATTCTCACTGCAGATCCACATTCGAGATGGTGTTGCTCTGGGGCCTGCAGAGGTTATCTGCTACGTCACGACAAACTACCTCTGCCCTTCATTGCTGTCAAGTGCAGAACCCGGCCCGTGGGGCACACTCATGCCTCAAGCCACGACCCTTTTCCTCCTAACACCCTGTGACGTTGTGTATGTGTATGTGGCTAGGACTCCACCATAAACCATAATGGACCCCTCTTCCCAACACAGCCCTTTGTTCCCCGTTTGCCACCAAAGAGACTTCAGAACAAGGAAAACTACGAAGAGTAAAAAAGAGTGTCACAAATGACCGAGGAGACAGTTCTCCCAAAACAGGATCATCCTTAACTTGTATGCGCCCAGTAACAAAGAGTCAAAATACAAAAGGCAAAACCTGACAGGACAGCAAAGAGAAAGCGCTGCAACCACTATTATGGCTGGAGATGTCTGCACCACCCTACGTTCAGTAACTGACAGACCCAGCAGGCCCAGGGGCAGTGAGGGTGGAACCGCCTGGACACCACTGTGACCACTCCACCTTCCTTGTAGCTCAGGGGTTGAATGTACATGAAGACCAGTGGAGGTGGGTATTCAAAATGCAGATTCCTGAGTGTCTTCCCCCGGTGACACCCCATCCTGTAGGTCCAGGGCCGGCATTCTCCAGCTCTCCTAGGGCCCTCCCCTCCTGCCACCGCCCCCTCCGCCGCCCCAGCCACATATATATCCCATGCCTCCTGAAGGCCCTAGTTACACCTCCCCTCCCCTTTCTCCCTAACCTCTTGCCCAATGCACCAGCTTGTTCCAGGTTGACACCTGTTGCCACAAGCCCCCTCCTCCCTCATCCTTGCTCTCTCCTATCACCTCACGACCAGTTTAAAGCCCTCCTACCTGTCCTTTCCAGGTTGGAAGTGACCCGGTCTGTGCTTATGTCTCCTGTCAGCTCTTCCATGCTGACGCCTCCCAAGCCACACTGACTCCCTGACCCTTGAACACACCATGTTTGTTCCCATTATACAGACCTCTGCCTGGAAAACATTAGTCACAGAAACCCACCTCCCTGAGCTCAGGCAGAGATCTCCCCATGCCCCAGAGACCTCCCCCTGACCTCACAGACTTCCGAACACCTGGTCCCAGGACGTTCTGAGCCAGTGATGGGGCTAACGTGCAGCGCTGGGCTACGGGGGCCCTGACAGGATTTCTGAGAAGTTTCCAATCCCTGGGCGTCTGAGCACATCTTGCACCCTCGCCTCAGCAGGTGACAGAAAAGACAAAATCCATGCCAGAGAAAGATGCGAGTCTGCTGTGTCCATCTTGGTTTGTGACAGTGAAGTGAGCTGGGACGGAGGAGGCACAGGGCCAGCCATCCATATGCTGACAAGCTCTGCATGCTAATTAAACGCAGACAGACGGAGGGACTGTTGGGAGTCTGGAGTCCCAGCAGGAGTGCTGACTCCTACCTGCTACAACCCTACGTGAGAAAAGAACCACTTCTACCTTAATTCATTTTTAAAACTGGCTCTTCAGCTTTAAGAAGACTGCTTTAGTGCATTTGCTAAACTTGTGCTCAGTAAACAAATCGAACGCTTTTAGAACCCAGGATTCTCCTTCACGAGGTTATTTTACAGTAACAACTGCACTGTGAAATCCATCGTTGCCTATCAGCGGTTCTAAATAAAGCGAGTGATTTCTATCAGTTTCAAACCTGCTAAACTAGGCTCAGTTCAGTAACACAGCCCAAAAAGCTTAAACAAACAAAAAAAAAGTATGGAAAATATTAGTTCATTGGAAAAAGATTTTATTTCACAAAAAATGCAAACTGGAATAAACACCATCTTTCCTAACGCAAACATTACAGCTATTTTTAAGTATTTCTTGAGCTTCACTTGGAGAAGCAAATGATTATAAAATTTAACAAGTTTTTAGCCTTAAATCTGTTTGAAACGTTCCAAGTAAAAATAATTTAGCAAAACAGCTTCTTAAAAAAACCACACACGCTAACCTTGACTAGAAACCAAAGCTTTTAACCAATCTTTTTTTTCAATGCGTAATCACCAGTTTGTAACGTGAATGTTTCTGAAGCGAGGAGCATCAGACCATGCTGGAGCACCCCCCACGCGCGGACACCTTAAGAAGACAGCACGTGTGAGTTTCGATCTTAAGGACCTGCACTGTCTCCACGCGTGACGGAACGTGCCACGACCACTGGGTTCTCCTGGCACCCTGCCAAGTGCGCTTCCCAATCATCAGTTAAAATTACAAAAGGAAAAGGAAAAAGAACACCACCAGGGCAAGGCTGTTTCAAATTTTCAGGGCCCTGTGGGACCACGGCTGTCCACTCTGACAATCTGTCCCCGACGTGCAACGTGCCTCCCATGAAGTCAGCATACGTGGGGGTGTCCCTAAAAGGGACAGAAATGCTGCTCCGCCTGCATGTACGTGGTGGCCATGTACTTCTCACCGCCGCCGGCCAGTGCGTTTTTCCTGATTCAGAGAGAATTGGTGACATTAAAGCTATCGGATCAACAGTTTTAAGGGAAAACTAAAGCTAGCGATTGAGGACTACACGTTCGGAACAGAAAGGCCGCCGGATGTTACGAAGGGAGAATCGTCACGCGTGGCCCTCCTGCGTGGGTGGCTCCTTGGCGGTGTGCTCTGCGGAGGCCGGGCAGGAGAGGAGCCAGGAAGCCCACGGGTCCTGGTCTCCGCTGGGCGGCCGCGTGGGGGGACGCCCTGCATTACCTGTTCCAGGCGCTGCGGTGCCGGCTGGGGGACCCTGAGCGTGACCTGTCTCGGTCACCGTGGCCATGGTGGCTACGCCTCCTGCCCGAGCCGCCCCTGCGGTCTCGGCTCCTCTCCCTCCGGCTGGACCGCTCTCTGCTGTGGGACCTCCGGGACCGGCTGTGGTCGGGGCTCACGCTCCGCCGCTGAGGGCTGTCGTCCTGGCGTGAGTGCTTCTTGTGCTGCCGCCGCTCCTTCCGTCCCTGCCTCCCGTCCTCCCGACTGCCAGCCCGCCGCGGCCGGCTCCTCTCTCGCTTGTGTCTGTCGTCCTCCCCCCGGCCCCCGCTGGCCCGGCCTCGGCCCCCGCTGGGCTCGCGGTTGCACTTGTCTTGCTCACAACGGATGTCCTTTCTGGGCGCGCTCTGGTCACAGGCGGCGGCGGCGGGCAAGCCCTTGGGCTGCTGGTTGTTGTCGGGAATGCAGGAGAGGACACTGGGGCACCTCTTGTCAGGGGAGCCGTCACCTGCGGCGGCGAGGCGAGAATTCAGGCTTTCCTTGCACTGGGCCCCCTCGGCCACGCTCCCGTTCACACTTTTCGGCGTGCTGTCGGTCTCGGGCCGGGGCGGGGTCTCCTTCGGGGTGCTGGGGGGGGGCTGGCCCACAAGGGGATGCAGGGAGGCAGCGCCCACGCAGCTGGCCGACACGGTCTGCAGGATATCCAGCACGGGCTGCAGCAGGTCCGCGTGGGAGACCCCGAGCTCATCCTGCGCGTGTGGGTCGTCGGCCTTCTTGCTCAGCAGGATGCTCAGCAGCCGCTCCCGCAGCTCCCTCTCCTTGCGCTGCAGCCCCAGGGCCCGCTCCTTCTCCTCCTCCACGCGCCGCAGCTCGGCCTCCTGCAGCCGCCGCCTCTCCTCCAGCTGCTGCAGCCGCAGCGTCTCCTCCTTCCGCTCCTGCTCCTGCAGTTTCACTGCCTGCAGCACAAAGGGGAAGGCGCAGGCATGTACCTCCGTGGCCCCTGCACGCTCCGAGTAGGCGCTGGGTCTGTAGATGCCCCGAGGCGTGGGGGGTACCGAGTGGACGCTCCGGCCGGAGTGCGGCCCGCCCGTCCCTACCACGCCCGGGCCGTCATGCGTCCGAGCGAGCAGGAAACCCCGTGGCCAAGCTACGTGGCACGGCCCCGGGGCGGGCATTTCGGGTGGGGCCTGGCCCCTCCGAGGCGCACACGGGGCCTGCCGTGAGGTCGCAAGCGGTCACCAGCGACAGGGAACTGAGATTACGAGGCGGACGTACGCTGCCGTGGCCGCCGCGGGATGTGCGGGGCCTAGGCTGGGTTAGCGTCTTCAATATTCACCATGAAACAAGAGCTGAGCTGCCACGTCTCAGCGCGCCTGCCAGTCTCCTTCCCGGGGACTTATCACAACTGTAATTAGACAACAGGTTATGGGGTCGCCCCGCGCCTGACTCCGCGGGGGCACGCGGCCTGCCCAAGCACAAGGCGTGCCGGGCGAGGTCCCCGTGTGTCCCCGGCCCCCGGCTCGCAGGAGTTACCGTCGGGCCTCCGGAAGGAGCGGGTGGGAGGAACGAGGAGGCTCTCAGCACTGAGGCGCTCATCCGAACAGCACCGGCTGAGACCTGTCAGGTCCACGGCTGCGGAGGAGGAACGTGGCCCAGCCAGGCTCCATAGTGCACCCTGAGGTCCCAGGGACGCCGCAGGGCCCCTCTCTATCAGCAGGCTCAGCCCTTACCCTCCCGCCGCCCCTGGCTGCTGGCTGGCGGGGTCGGCACAAAGCGCACCGTGCCGACGGCCCTGGGCAGAGCCATCTGCGGCGGGAAGAGAGCCACGGGGGCCAGGGGACCCTCAGTGAGCTCGGCCACTCCCTCGCTCCGGGGCAAATGGGGACCCTGCGCCCCAGCTCCCTGAAGGCTCTCGGACCGTGCCTGGGAGGTGTGAACGCACGCTACGCTAAGTCCGAGTTCTCCCAGCTCCGCGAGACAACAGCACATTCTAGAACCTGGAGCGAGGCAGGAAGGCCACACACACCACCAGCTGACAGCGCGCCCGTCGGTCCTAACGCTCATTCTTGCCCGTGGCTGCGACCAGCTGTGGGACGGGGGCGGTGACGCTGGCCGCACGTGTCAGAGACGCGCAGACGGCGGCCCGCAGCAGGAGACGGCGCAGCCCGGGCTGCCGGACGAGAGCACCCACGCCCACCCGCCGTACCTTGGCTCTGCTCAGCAGCTCGGCGATGAGCCGGATGGACTGCAGGTTGCGCTGAGCCAGCAGCAGTTTGCGCTCCTCCAGCCGGATCTTCTCCTGCAGCTTCTTCTGCTCCTCCGCCTGCAGCTTCTCCAGCTTCTTCTGGTTCCGGCGGAACTCGCGGTCCCTCTGTTTCTGCTCCCTCTTGCGCAGCTTCTCTTCTCGCTTCCTCTCTCTCTCCAGCTCTTCTAGCTCCTTCTGCTTCCTGCGCAAAATACACGAAGGGCTCTGTTAAGCACAGGCGGCGGGCCGCAGCCGAGCGCTCAGGCCGCGGCCAAGTGGGAGTGCTAAGCCGGGGGCAGGAGGCGAGTATCGGAGCTTGTTTAGGACAGCGGTCATTTTAATGCTTTATCCCCCAAAACAGGTTTCGGCTGAACCCAAGCAACTGGACACGGGGAGATGCACACTGACACAGTTCTCAGAACCTTTTGAGGGAGGGTCTTGCTAACGAACTTGCAGACACGAAGAAAAGAACGGGTGGCTTTCGCTGACACAGAAAGTTCGGGTTTGAACGAGACACAGCAAGAGGTAGGGAGGCCAACGGCGGCCCGGGGGACCTCCTGCCACAGCGCCAGCCGGGACCCTGACACACAGCGCTCCCGCCTCACGAGGGAGGACGCACACAAGTGGACGGAGCAGAACCCGAATCCGGGAGAAGGTGCAGGGGGTGGATGGGAGCGTCAGGACACGCTCCACAGCCCGCCGGCTCACCAGCCCATTGGACACCGCAGGGCACGGGCAGTGAACTCACTGCACACGGCCGCCAGCTGAGAACCACTCAGTGTACAGACCACGCTGACGCGTCTCCCGGTGGGCACAAAGCGCCCATGGCCGGCCAGGCTGACGCGTCTCCCGGTGGGCACAAAGCACCCATCGCTGGGGCTCTGCAGACAGGCCATGGGGTGCCGCTGCACGGAATGCAATACACACGTGCACGGCCACATGGAAGGTTCTGGGAGCACTTTGCTAAGGGAAAGACTAAACGCAGAAAACTGTGCACCTCGTGATCCCCTTTGTGGGAGATTCTAGAAAACGCAAACCCACAGTGACAGAAAACCAAGGTCGGCGTGCACCGGGCTGTGTTTCTGCGGACCGGGGATCCCTGAGAGTGTGTACCCGCATACGGAAACCCTGTCACGTGGCCACACAAAAACCACCTGCAGATGGTGGGTTTTCTTTAAAATAAACCCATACCAAGCACAACAGATTAATCCATTGTTTTTGGTGGGGGGGGGTCCCCAAGATGAGGATCGAAATGCAACCAGCACAGACAGAAACCCCCACAGAAAAAATGTGCAAGAACCACGGGGTGCGTCTCCGCAGACACCCTCACCCGCACTTTGGCTTCAAAATTAGTCGGATAAACGACGGACGTGGTTAAACACTGAAAGCTGCCCTGGGTGGGACAGGACGCACGAGGTGAGACCCCTGAGCCCGGGCAGGAAGTCCACAGGCTGCGGAAGAGCGACCCGGCCGGGCTGACGCCAGAGCCGCAGAGACCTCGCACCCGGGGGGACGGACAAGGACACAAACGCCCTGGCGGCCCCAGGGAGGCCCAGGGAGGCCCGGGGCTCGCACTGGCAAGCGGGAAAAGCTGCAGGGCCTCGCTGCGCACAGAGCGCCGCGTGCGGTAAGGCCCCGCCACAGCCGGTGTCCAGGCCCCAGCAGCTACAAGAGCCAGGGGTCCCAGCAGCTTGGGGGCCCCCGGAGGCAGGCACAGCTCCGAGCAGAGGCCGACCTGGAGGCCCGGGGCATGTCCCGTGCCAGAGCCGGACAGCCCCCAGCCACGCGCCGCCCCTCCGTGGCACGGAACCAGCCAAATGAACATGCATCAGTGACCGAGGACGGGCGCCCACGCTCCCCGGGGCCGGCCCGCAGCTCAGGTCGAGAAAGGGCCGCGCGGGCGGCAGCGGGCTCCGCGGGGACAGCCGGCCCCTCCCCTCCCAGGCCTTGCCCCAAGCAGCCCCCCGTGGGCACAGCAGAGGGAACCGTCTGTCCTCACCGCGCTTCCAGCCCGGACAGACGGAGCGGCCCGTCCGCAAAGCCAAGCGCCCGCTCGCTCCGACTGTAAACGTCCAGGCCTCGGCGCCTCTGGCGAGAACCCCCAGCGCCTCCTGAGAGGCTGCGGGGGCCCCGGGGCACGTGGTCACGGTCAGCGCTCAGGACCGGGGCTGGGCCGCTGTGCTCGCTGCCCGCGGCTGCCGGGGCCCAGCACCTCGGCCCTGCCCGCTGCGGCCCCG